ATGCCATGTAGCTGTATCCTGCAGGGCTTCTCTGCGCCCTGCCATACCACTGATATCAATATCCATCTATACCCAACATCAAAATGTCACTGTTAATGGGGAATCCTATCCAGTGGAGGTGTTTCCCCCGGGGAGCTGTTCTTGCCCCTCTGCTCTTCAGCTTCTTGATCAATGAACTGTGAGGAAATACAAAATCACTCACTGCTGGTAAAATCTGCAGCTGACCCAAAGCTGAGCGGAGTGGTAAATAATGCTAAGGGCAGTTACGCAGAGTGGGCTGGACAATTTGGTGAGCTGGGCCCAAGCCAACATGCATTTCAATGCAGCCAAAGGCAAGGGCATATATCCAGGAACAAATAGCGTAGGCCACATTTTCAGGGTGGGAGATTGTATTTTGGACCGCAGTGACTCTCACCTATTGAGGGCTCCTGGCTGCTGATTGCAGAACAGAGTCCCAGCCTTGACATCCTTTTGGTCTCCTTAGTGCATTCAGAGACCCACATTGCCACAACAGGAAAATATGCTCCCTTCTGCCTGTGGCTGGCCTGAAGACTGAGCCACACCCTATCAAACATGGATCTGGCACCTGGGACCCATGCTGGTTACAGGAGCTTGCAGGACTGGATCGAAGAGTGAACCACACCCTCTAAAAAAGTTCTCACTGGTACAAATGCATTAGCCCATTAGCTTAGCAAGGCAGGTTGCTGAGAGCACATCACCCCACTGTACCAAGATATGCTTGGGGGCCTTCAGAGAGCAAGTTACATTCCCTGATTCTAATAGTTCGACTGACCCAACCCCAGCCCTTCAGCCTAAGTTAGAGCCGCTTAGGGACTGCTCTAACCACTGCCAGCTGCCTGTGGTCCCTACGGGACCATGCAACATGTGAGAAATGATGGAGTGCAGCTGTGCTCCACCCGCCCTCTTGTTCCCAATTAACCCTCCCATCCTCCACACTGCGGGGAGAAGGGCAGTTGGTGCAAGAGCTGGCAACGCTACTGTCCACCTGCTCAGTGCTCCCCCATGCCGGGGAATTCCCTGCTGGCCAAATCCTGAGTGGCCAGAACCGGGGCAGAGAGGCTGGACCATTGCATTCTGTTTGGGGAAATCTGTGTTGTCTTCCCATCCAAGGAAAGGGGCTGTCTGAGATCACTGAGTGCACCCCACAGGCTGACAGAGGGCCTCCACTCCAAAGGGGGTGCTGTTATGTGGGAGATGCTGATCAGAGAAGAAAGCCACAGCAGTGTCTGGTCTAATCAGAAAACAAGCATTCGTCTCTCATCTCAATATTTCTCTTCTCTGCCTCCCTCTTTCCTCTCTTGGTACCTTCCTCTTTCTCAGAGCCCCTCCCTCCACTGCCAGAGCCTCTTTCCAGCAGAGCTGAACAAGTCTTCTTCAAGCTATTGCAAGCGGCTGCTTTTTCAGCCCCAGCCTTTGAAGTCCTTCCGGAATATCATCAGCATTTCATCGCCCGCAAGGGGGAGCTTTGGTTTGAAAATCCAGACAGAACAATGCATCTCTGTCTTTGTCAAGAGTGCACAGCCCAGGGGCAAAGTGGGGTTGGTGTGGACGGACACGCAGGTGCTGTGGAGGAGCAGAGACTACATTCCGGCTAGGCTAGGCACAGGCCTTGTGGAGTGGTGGATAGCAGCTATAACTCAGTGAGGGTGTCAGGCCATCTCACTCAGAGTACGGGCACGTGCTCACTCGTTGGAAGGAGTACGTAGCATTGTGTGCTCCAGTCCTTCTCTCACCTAATGAATGGAGCAGCATTCACACCCGCCTCCGAGGGAAGTGGTAAAAGCATCATCCCCCTGAGTCTTTGACAACGGACCAGACAAAGCAGTGGACAGGCTAGTGTAGCAGGGAACAGAGCAGAGAACTGAACAGATTGTTCCCATCGCTAATTCCAGCTTATGCTGCCAGGGGTCAATTCATCAGCAAGGTCTTAAGAAATAAATACAAGTTTGTGAACAGGTCTTCATCCTGCCTGGCTCAGTGGGTGTGAAACACGATCGTTGTGAGCTGGGTGGCTCACACCCCCTTTGCACAGGTGCAGATGACCGCACAAGGCAGCAGGGGCCAGGTATGTGAGGGGTAAAGTGGAAGCACTGGGAGCCTTCCCCATCCCACCTTGTGCACCCAGAGACAGCTGCATTCCTGTGCTCAGGACGTTTCCAGGACTGCTCCCTGCCAGTGCTCTTGGATGGAGGGCCCTGAGCCCTAGTGCCCTATGCACCAGCCCACAGAGCAAGCAGGGGCAGCAGGTCACGCCATTGTCAAGGCTAGCGAAGCCTGTTCTCTCTGGTAAGTTGTGTGGGAACATCACACACCCCAGGGGAAGCCGGGCTCCTGCATGCTGCCGGATAGCCCTTGCTTGATGCGTGAATGGCTCGGGAGACTGCATGTGAGGAGACACCTGGCTGGGAATCTCTCATGGGAGCAGAACCTCTTTAAACAACACATGGACCTTTCTGAAGCTGCTCCACTTGCCTGTTGTCTGGAGTCTATGGGGGAGGAGAGCCAGATTGCCAGAACCCTGCAGCTTCCTGGAATCCCCTGGAAACCCATTCCCAAGGGCTCTTCCAGTTCTAGCAACTTGTCTTCAGTGCCGTGTAACATGGGTCTCAGCTTGGTTTGTTCCAACAGGGCATATCCCAGTGTCAGGTATTCTAGAAGATTTTGTGGATGCTGTTGAGGTGCTTGCTCCACTGGGACTGAGAACAGTTCTGGTATTCAGTGAGCACCGAAGATTGGCTATACTATAGACTAGCTAGAGAAAATAGGGGCCAGACTAGATGCTTTGATCTTAATAAAGTCAGAAGGGACCATTGTGATCATCTAGCCTGACCTCCTGCATAACAAAGGTCAGAGAATCTCATCCACTGATTCCTGCCCCATGCCCAGAACATCTCACTGAGCTAGAATGAAGCTCTTAGTCACAGATCCAGACTTGGTGACCAAGTGAAGCCAAGTGTTGGAGAATTGGACAAATCCCTTGGGAATCTGGTCCAGTGGTTAATTATTCTCTGTGTTACCAACATATCTTATTTCCCATTTGCTCTGCTGAGTTCATCTTCCAGCCATTGGGTCTGGTTCCACCTTTAACTGCGAGGTTAAAGAGGCCTCTATCAGAAACCTCCCCGTGTAGGTACTTAACGGCCAAGATCAAATCACCTCTTAACTGCATCTTTTATAAGTGAAATAAATAACCATTGGCACAGATTCCCAAGGGATGGGCCCAAACACGCTCACCATAGCTTTGTTTGAGCTGGCTCGCTAAGAATAACAGCATGGCCCATGGCAGCACAGGCACCGGCACCGGCTTGGGCTTAGCACCCGAGTACAAACTCAGCGGGTTGGACAGGATTGTGATCAGGTGGCCATCCTGAGCTGCTGTCTGTGCTGCTGCGGGCACACTGCTATTTTTAGCAAGCTAGTTCAATCAAAGCTAGCGGGGTATATTTACCCAAGCTGAAAACTCTCCCCAGCACTGTGTAGACGTACCCTCAGTGGCTCACTGTCTGGCAGGTTTTCTAGACCTCTGATCAGTCTTGTAGCTTCTACTCTCCCCTTTCCAGTATTTCAACATCCTTCTTGGAGAGCGGCCAGTAGAATTGGATTCCGTATTTGTGCAATGGGCTCACCAACGCTGTATGCAGAGGTAGCGCCACCTCGCCGCTCCTCTCCGATGGTCCCGTTTGTCCCTTTTGCCCCAGCCTCGCACTGGGCGAGCATGCTCAGCTGGTTTCTACCACCACCCCTTAGGCTTTTTCAGTGTCACTGTGTTCCTGGATCTAGTCCTGCCTCCTGTAAGTGTGGCCAAGGCAGGAAACCAGGAGGGACTGGGGAAGAGACGATAATGAACAAGAGACAACATTTGGATGTCAACTGCCTGAGTCACCTGGCCAGGAATCTTTTCTTGTGTTTTCTTTTCTCGTGGAGCTTCTTATTGTAAACCCACCTTTGCCTTGTTTTGTCTTCCCCCTGGGCACAAATGCATCTGACCTGTATGGGATGGGGGCTAGTCACAGCGCAGCCCTCCAACACGGGGCAGCTGTGCCATTCCTAGCTGAGGCCCTAGCTCAGTTCTCTGGGATTGACAGGCATGTGGAGCATGCTCAGAAAGGCAAGGGCTCTGATCTGCAGGGCATCCCTGGGAGGGGTGCAAAGATGGCTTTATGGGCTTTCCAGAGGCCAAAACATACTCCAGAATAAGTTACAGCAGCCAGGTGCTGCTCTAAGTTACTGCAGACCAGACCAGACGCCCTCTAGCACTGTGAGCTATGGGTTTGCCCCCAGGCACCCCCTTCCAGCCCTGCCCTGGTCCCAGCACATCCCGTGTTTGTGGTAGCCCTGCTCTGTGCATGACCAGGCAGATTTCCCTCTGCCAGCTGCAGTGCATTAAGAGCTCCTAGACACCACGGCCATGGTGATGCAGGGGACTGGCATGGGGAAAGTCCCTGTCCTCCTTGAAGCTGGTCCCAGGTGGGGAGGTGTCATTTCCCCACTCTCTGCTGAGCTCCCAAACACCGTCCCAGCATTGGACTGAGTGTTCAGAGATACTTCCTTGCAGAACGAGCCCAAGTCTGTTAGGGATTCACAGCAAATGTCTGTTTCTCCAAGCAAATGTCTGTTAGCCCCAGTGCCCAGGCTAAATTCCAAGACAGCGAGCTACAGTATGTTCAGATAAATTCCCCTCTCGCTGCATTTGGGTTCATGACCTGCCCCTACACTGTTAGGCAGTATTGCTGACATGTTTACAGTGGCTGCTGAGTTCCACTCCAGAGGTGGCTGCATTGTGATGAGTAACATGATCACTGTGTAAATGTCTGCTCTGTAAAGTGTCTTGCTCCTGTCGCTAAATGGATAGGAATAGTAACGAGCAGTGGTAGTTAGTACTAGACCAGAGGCTGGGTGAGGGGCTGTGTCTGAGGACATGAGTTCAGTCTGGACAAGGTCAGAACCTACATGCAGTGTTTGACTTTCTCTCCTCCCAGACCTCAGTGACCAGCTCCTGGAAGTGGTGGGTCTCGAGGGAGCGATGGAGATGGGGCAGATCTACACCGGACTGAAGAGTGCTGGAAAGAGACTGGCTCAGTGTTCATCCGTTACCATCAGGTACTGTCCCAGCCCTCAGCCCCGATCCCGCTCTTAATCACTCCCATTAGAACATGGCAAATGGCTGTGACTATTTGAAAGCATCCTAACAGATACATTGCTACATCCAACACCTGTCCGAGGCTCTGCTAGAGCCAGTTATTGCCCCACCTGTCTCCCCTTCACCCGCTAATCCTGTAACTTCAATTCCAGTAGGTCTGCTTGTCTGGCATGATTTATTTACAGTGTTGTGGTGGCCGCATTGGTCCCCGGATATGAGTGAGACAAGGTAGATGCGGTAACACCTTGTATTGGACCAATTTCTGTTGGTGGAAGGGTCAAGCTCAAAAGCACGTACCTTCCACCAACAGAAACTGATCCAATAAAAGACATTATTCCCCCACCTTGTTTCTCTCCTGCGTTATGTATGGGGCTTGTACAGCACTGAGCAGAAAGGACTCATTGGCCATGAGTAAGGCTCCTAGGACCTATGGTGATACAGCTACCCCGGCAATATTTAGTGTAAGGCTTTGCCACTTATTGCTCAGGAGTCTATTGGCCACAGTGTCTCTCTTTATATTTGCTCAGTTCTTTTACTAGGCTGGGATGGCTTGAGTTGGGTTGGTTGGGTAGTTGGTCGGTCAGTCATTGACAAGATCATTCTTCTCTCCTTCATAGTAAAATAGTGCCGTGTTGTATTTCCCAGCTCTTAGATACCTCCCTAGTTTTCAGTGACTCTTCAGTGATAGTTGTTAGTGGGTTTGTGCATTTGTTGGCTGGCTTCCTTTAAAACTAGGAACCCTCCCTTGTCACCGACTCATTGTGTGAGCCAAATCCTGACGGTCTTACTGCTTACTTGGGCAAAGCTCGCCCTGGCGTCAGTAGCAGTTTGACTGACTCGGACGGAGGAAACAGGGTGGAAGGACTGCAGGATTTGGCCGTGTGTATTCAGCTCTCCCCTTCCTTTCTTCTGATCAATAGGTGGTTTGTGTATTAGTCATTATTGAATTGGCAAAAATGTTTGGACGGATGCCACAAAACTGTTTGCAGATTTCACGCAAATAGTTTCAGCTGTTCACAAAATGGCTGGAGGAGGCGGTGAGGGTGTGTTCACTGCTGCCCTCTCTTCCCCTTATAACTTTTCACCCAGCGGATAGGGTAGTCACCCAAGAGGTAGGCGACCCAGGTTCATTATCTCCCTCCTTCCAGTCATCGATGATATAACCTTCCAGCATCTACCTTGAGGGAGGCGCTTCAGGACAGGGGTTCCCACCCCTCAGATCTTTGACCAGTTTACCATGGAGCCACATTAGCCTCCCCTTGTTCCTGACCCCTGCTTTTTCAGAGGGATGGCAGACTGCTGGGCCTTAATTAAGGTGTCTTGTAGGGTGCTTCCACCTTCATTCTCACCCCTGGATTTTAGTATTTCATCCCTTTCCCCATGCCTTACAGACTGCAATACACCTCCACCTTGACCGAAATGCCGCTCGGTTGTACTTTCCCATAGACTCAGATGTCAGTATCAGTCCTGATTACTCAAAACCCACACACCTTCCACCCCACTGACTCAGATCCCAGATCTGCCCTTCCCCCGGCCAGACTGTAACCCCTAATGACATACGCACATGTACAGCCCAGGGTGCCTCTCATCCATGGAACCCTCCCCCTAGAGTTTATCATCTCCACAACGCCTCGTTTTTTTTAACCTCCTTCCACTGAAGCATCAGGACTGGCCCAGCTGGAGATGGGACACTGGATGGGGCGGCAGGAGGCCTCTGAGGTGGCACCGAACGTTCTCTCTCTCCAATGCTTGGCTGGCTGGGTCTTGCTCACATGCTCAGGGTCTAACTCAGGGGTTAGCAACCTTTCAGAAGTGGGGTACTGAGTCTTCAGTTATTCACTCTTAATTTAAGATTTCGCATACCAGTAATACATTTTAACGTTTTTAGAAGGTCTTTTTCTATAAGTTTATAATATATAACTAAACTATTGTTGTATGTAAGTAAATAAGGTTTTTAAAATGTTTAAGAAGCTTCATTTAAAATTAAATTAAAATGCAGAGCCCCCCCGGACCGGTGGCCAGGACCCGGGCAGTGTGAGTGCCACTGAAAATCAGCTCACGTGCCGCCTTTGGCACGCCTGCCATAGGTTGCCTACCCCTGGTCTAACTGATCGCCGTGTGGGGTCGGGAAGGAATTATCCCCCAGGTCAGACTGACAGGGACCTTAGTGGAAGGGGGCGATTCTCATTCCTCTTAAGCGCATGGGTGCGGGTCACTTGTCAGGATTATCTGGGTCTCTCTCATGTAATCATTTTCCTGACACTGAGTGGGCCTTGGGCACTGGTGCACTTCGGTCCCTCCTGTTCTCTGCCTGTGACACATCCTACTCTAGTGTCCTGGGAGCTGTAATAGTTTGGTCAGTGGCTGGGTTTGGTGCATGGGTGCTGGGTGTTGTTGGGGGCCTGCGCTATGCAGGAGGTCAGACTGGAGGATCTGGTGGTCCTTTCTGGCCTTGAACTCTATGACTGTATCAAACGCGTGGGCAGAGGCAGTGACAGACGCAGCAGAAGAACGAAGAGCGTTCAGCAAAGGTGCAAGGAATAGGGTGACCAGACAGCAAGTGTGAAAAATCAGGACAGGGGGTGGGGGGTAATAGGTGCCTATATAAGAAAAAGCCCCAAATATCGGGACTGTCCTTATAAAATTGGGACATCTGGTCACCCTAGCAAGGAAGGAGCGGAGAGGATCCAGGGACAGGCTACTGACCTGGGAAAGGAAGTGATCAGATCCAGTAGCTCATAAAACAAGGTGCAATCCTTGGCATGATGCCTCGAGCCTGGGGCATTACAGCAGTCTCCCACGTGGATTTCATGTGCCCAGGGCTTGCAGTTCAGGGCATGTTTTCACTAAGGGCTGCCCCAGATCATGTCCTCTGTGTCTCCACCCACTCCTCCGGGGCAGGTCAGTGAGCTACAGGACCCTCAGTGCAGACTGCCTGGAGAAAGGCAGCCCCTCCTGTGTCCTCACCCTGTGTCTTGTTTGTTTGTGGGTTCCAGAACAACAAAGCTGTTGCCCATGCAGGTGGATGGAGAGCCCTGGATGCAGCCTCCCTGCACAGTGAGTACACAACTGGCAGCGGTGCAGACTGGACGGGGTCCCAAAGGCAGGGTCCCACATCAAAAGCAGCTGCTGATGGTTGGGTGATTTTCTCAGAGAAGGGATTTGTAATCCAAAGAAAATTCCCAACATGATTCCTTGACTACATCTGTCTCTTATTCCCCCTCCCCCATGACTGGAGGGGACATCACCCCATTATCACCTCCCTAAGTCATTGTCTCCTGGCGATTCTCCCCCCACCCCCTGCAGAAGAGGGCTGGATACAAGCCTCTGAAGCCCAAGCAGTGTGATGCTCCCCCAGCCCCTGTAGCCTCAGCAAGAGCACAGAAGGTGGCCTTTTTAATAATAATAATAAAAAAAACAGTAAAAATTTGACTTAAATTCACAAGCTCTTGAGTCCCGACCTCCAGCACGTGTACTGCTGAAGTGCAGAGCGGGAAAGAGAGCTGATGTCTGGGCTGATTCATTAGGGCAGTGGTTCTCAGACTTTTGTACTGGTGACCCCTTTCACATACCAAGCCTCTGAGTGCAACCCCCTTATAAGTGAAAAACACTTAAATATACTTAACACCATTATAAATGCAGGAGGCAAAACAGGGTTTGGGGTGGAGGCTGACAGCTCGTGACCCCCCATGTAATAACCTTGCAAACCCCTGAGGGTGTCGCAACCCCCCAGTTTGAGAACCCCTGCATTAGGGTGGGTGACAGGATGCACTGGGCCCTTTGAGGCCCCCTGCTGGAGGCCTCTCAGTCCTGCCACACACTGCCCCAGAAAAAGGAGCAGTGAAGATGGGTCCTCCAGCCGTGGATAGATAGGCTGCAGAGAAGCAGCCAATCAGAGTGCAGCAAGCATAGCTAAAAGGAGCGGCAGGGCTGGAGTGGCTCAGTCGCTGGTGTGGACCAGAAGGGTGAGAAAGGCTGCGAGACTGAAAGGCTGTGTGAGAACAAATAGAGAACCTGGGCTAAGGGTGAAGAGGAAGGGGCTATGTGGAAAGTGGCCCAGGAAATAGCAGCAGCTGCTATTAAAGGAGGCAGCATGTGGCTGCTATTTGTAGGGTCCCTGGGCTGGGACCCAGAGTAGAGGACAGACCCAGGTCCCCCTACTGGACACTGGGGAAGTGGCCGAAGCCCCAGGAAGGGGATAAGGCTCAGTACTAAAAGCCCAAGAAAGGAGCTAGAATTTAAACAGGCCTAGAGATGGGGCTGAAGACCCTGGAGGGGGCCAACCATTGTTGGACTGTGTTACCCCAGAAGGGGTTCCTTCATGCGTTAGACTGTGTGTGACTTAGCCAGAGGGCTGGGCCATTGAAGACCCGCTTGATGAGGTTAACAGCCAATAGGGCACCAGGAAAAGAGTGCAGGTTCACATCCAACCAACAGGAGTTGCTCATGAGAGGTAAGTGACTTCCCTCACAGGGTTTCTGAAAGGCGTAGGCTAAAAAAATAAACCAGGGGCAAAGGGGGTGGGGCTAATTTCAGGTCCTGGCTCCCCTCTATTCGGACAGTGCAGATTAAGCCAAAGTGCCCCAGTTGACTCCCTCAGTTGGGAGCTGTACAGGGCCCAGCTCAGGTGTCGGCTCCCCGTGCCTCACTGTCCAGATCCTTCTTCCTGCTATTTCGAATGAAAACAAGTAACTATAATGGGCCCGAGCCTCGGGTGGTGCATGTCTGCACAGCTCTACTGACTCAGTGGAGCAAGGCTGGGGATCTGGCCCTGGAGTGGATGTGGCCTTGGGGGTTCTCTCTATACAGATTAAAGGGACAGTAAAATGCCCACCTGAAACCTCTGGCTTTATACTTCACCTTCCCGTCCTCCTGCCGATGCAGGCCAGCACCGCTGGTTAGCATAGCCTTAAATGAAAAGAGAGGATTTGGGAAACAATGGCTTTTAGATGCCAGCAGAAAACTCAGGTCACTTTACTTTGCATTTTGGCTCCTTTTCCATGTGTCTTTTTCCGCCCCATGGGGTCCCCCGCCTCAATATCTTCAAGGCTCTGACATCATAACCAAGATTTTTCCAGGCAAGAAATGCTTGTCACGGTGTCACCAGCCACCTGAGCCAGCTGCAGGGTCCCCCAACCTGTTGTCCCTGGAGTGGAGTGTGCTGCCCATGCTGCCTCTGCGAGACGTGCTGGCTCTGAAGCAGGGCCCCAGCCTCGCCCCACATTGCATAGCACTGTTCCTGGCTGGATTCGCTGGGCAGGAATGACTGCATAGGCACAGGCTGTCTCAGCATTGCTCTGATTTCAGCAGATCTCCCAATAAACTCTCCCCCTTTGTTTTAATTCAAACAAGTCAGATTTTTCTTCCCTTCCACACAGCCCGTTCGCAGCCGAGGCAGAGTCCTTCGCTGCCTGGGACCAGACCCAAAAGTGTGGGGCACTAAGCGAAGAGGGGAGTGCTGACCCAGGGCGCCCCAACAGCTGGGTCTGCTGGCCGGGCTCATAGGGAACCGGTTCATGGCTGCACCATTCCAGGGCGGGGTGCGGTGCACATGCCGTCCAGCCACCTTGCGGTGGATCATCCCAGGACCCTGACCCCTGCTAGTGCAAGGGCTGAACGTGACCCCACAGTGAACACACATGAGCCAGCCTGCCGTGCCTGAACAGGGCGATGGTACCAGCTCTCCTCTCCCCCTCCCCCATCCCCGAACGCAATGCCTCTGCATCTAAAGTGGTACTCGTGAGCTTCCTGGTGGGCGGCATCAGAGCCCCGGCAACCTGCTATTTTTGTCACTGCAGCACGTTAGACTCACTGCAGTGATTGCACTTGAGAGGATGGAGATTATTAAAGCGCCTTGCTGGGGACAGGGTCTCCGGGGAGAGTGGGTGTCCCTGCCCGGAGGCTCCAGAGTGCCCCGGTCCAGGATCCCAGTATGATCCAGAGCGACCCGACACCTTTGCTCCATGGCATTGGGTCCTGCTGGCGGCTCACAAAGAGACATATTCCAAGCGTGGCTTTGCCATGCGCCTGGCCTTATGCACTCGCAAAGCTAGGAAGCCCTTAATCCAGCAACTCCCATGTCCCTGACCCACGGAGAGCAGGCTCTTTAAAGGGACGCTGCCAACCACTGGCTGGAGGGAGCATATGCATCCAGACCGCTCCATCATGCTGTGGCCCCTGTGCCAGCAGCTTCACCCATAGCAATCCCACCTTTTCCTCAAAAATCTCTGTTAGGAACCACAGGTTCCCCTTCAAGAGCCACGTGACAGTGGGGTTGGCGTTAGAAGAGCTACCAACTGCACCTCCGCCCGGGGCATTGAAAACCAGCCACTTTGTTTAGGAATAAAGTGATGCCTATATTCTAGAGGAGCCAGATCAGGAAGAGTTTGGGTGCAAAGGGAGGCGCTGCTGGGCGAGGCACTAGCCATCTAGAGCTCTGGCTTCTAATGTAACTTGGCCCATCTATGGAAGTGTGTTTGGTGGATCCATCCTAGCAGAGGTGAAAATAAGCCGGTACGCCCCGGTACGGTGTACTGACAAGAGCCGGTACACCGTACCAGGGCTGCCCGGCTTCCCCAGGGGGCAATTTAAAGGGCCTGGAGCTCCCAGCAGGGGCTGGAGGCCCAGGCTCTTTAAATTGCCACCAGAGCCCCCTGCTGGAGCCCTGGGGTAGGGCTGCGGGGCTCTGGGGCTATTTAAAAAGTCCAGGGCTCCCACTGCTTCTACCACCCCAGCCCTTAAAATAGCCGCGGGAGCCCTGGGGAAGCAGCACGGCTCCGGGGCCTATTTACAGGGCTGGGGCAGTAAAAGCAGGGGAGCCCCGGGCCCTTTAAATAGCTCCCGGAGCCCCGGGCTGCCTCTGCTACCCGCGGGGGGAGGGAAGAGACTTACCTTACAGGGTGGGCTGGGGCTGGCTCTGGCTCCCTCAGCCATGCCCCTTCCGGGGGCCAGAGCTGGCCCCAGCGTACCGGTAAGTCACTGGACTTACTTTCACCCCTGCATCCTAGACATCATTGTTGACATCACAAAAGCCCACCGCCATTTGTCGTGTCTGGTAGTCTTTGCTGAGGAGACTAGAATAGCAAGGAAGTGTTATTTACTCCTTCTCATAACACACAAACTAGGGGTCACCAAATGAAATTAATAGGCAGCAGGTTTAAAACAAACAAAAGGAAGTATTTTTTCACACAATGCACAGTCAACCTGTGGAACTACTTGCCAGAGGATGTTGTGAAGGCCAAGACTATAACAGGATTAAAAAAAAAAGAACTAGATAAGTTCATGGAGGATAGGTCCATCAATGGCTATTAGCCAGGACGGACAGGGATGGTGTCCTAGCCTCTGTTTGCCAGAAGTTGGGAATGGGTGACAGGGGATGGATCACTTCATTATTACCTGTTCTGTTCATTCCCTCTGGGGCACCTGCATTGGCCAATGTCGGAAGACAGGATACTGGGCTAGATGGACCTTTGGTCTGATCCAGTATTGCCATTCTTATGTTCTTAAAAATGATGTGGACCGGGGCAGAGATGGATGGACAAAGCTGCGTGTTGGAGAGAGGAATCCAAACCCATGCACCTCGTCCAGGCTTTCTGTCCCTCATAAAATGTCAAGTGAATTACAAGAGTTTGAGTCTTAGGAAGCCAGGAGCTAATTGGCTCCTGGTGTTACTGTTGCCCTCTGGTCAGCATGGGTTAGGTGTCCAATCCAGAGATGAGCTGAGCCTGGCTCTTTAGCTCAAGCTGTAAAGGCTCCTCCTTGCAGCAGTGGAGGTCCCTGGTTCCATCCCTAGCATGCTGGCCAAGATGGCTGTTGTCATGTTCTCGGGGAACAGAGAGTCTCTTTCTGAGAGGAGTAGCCCCGCTAACCCTTCTCTAAGCTGAGCCTTATTGATTGATTTGTTTTATGTATTGATTTTTAGATAAAAATTACCCACAAAAGCCAAGTGCCGATGTTGCTGGGCGCTCCCCAGAAGAGCAGCTTCTTCTTCCTGAAGAGAAGAAACCGAACTCAAGACTAAAAAAGCAAAGAAATCAAGTCCAGAGGTGACAACGCTGCATCCCGCTGGCAACTGCTGCAAGGAAGGCTTGTGGAAAAGGACCCTTCATCTCTTCAGAGTTCCTGACTTCTCGCTCTGCTTTGGAAACAGCAGACCGGAGGCAGTGGTTTGAACAGCAAGTGGAAAAGAGCAGCCAATGGTTCCATGTGAAATGAGGTGTGGTTTGGGTTTGTACACACACACACACACACACACACACACACACACACACACACACACACACACACACACACACTACG